TGTTGTCGGGCTCCTTGGAGCACAACATGTCGTTTGCCTCACCGGCGAGCCCTCACATGAGGGGTGACAAGGTTCACACTCGCCCGCAAGACAACTGACTCAGTTGATGCGATGAATGAAAAAAAGGACGATTCCAGTCGTATTGTGACAACGGGACTTGAGGGGATGTTGTGTCATGACTTGGACTGGGCCTTACCAGCTCATGTGTCTTGAGCGGGGGTGGGTGCCAGACTCGTGAGGAAAAAATACCCTTGGTCGTGAAAACACTTGTGTCCGCTGATATGATGGTAAATACATTTTTATGAATAATATTTGATGAAAGCTCCTTTGTGTGGTGAGATGCAAACGTTCAAACATATTAGGAGTAAGAACACATGTTGTTATTTTCTGAGTGATTGGAATGCACCGATTTTCCTGGCCACCTGTTCATAAGGCCTTTGGGATATTCCAATCATGATTTGGTTGAAGACTTGAGATTACTCATCGCGCATTTCGTTTAGATGAGTGCAGATGGCTTGTGCATAAATTCACACAAATACGCTTTTATGAGACTTTACATATTTGTTTTGAGATTTCCTAGGATGATGTGAGAGATGGTATTGAAGTTTCTTGTCACTAGCTTACTGCGCAATTTCGTTTTGAGTGTCTTCAAGTCTGGTTATTTAAGGTTATGGCATATGGCTCAAGTCATTTGACTCAGAAGTAAGTAAGGAATCCCAGTTCATTATGTGCACGCTTCAGGCTTGTTTGACTTTCGTGGGAGATCCGTAGTTTTGGATTTCACGTCATTTATACACAATCCCACCCCAAAATCAGAATTTTGGAGCTCAACCAATTTCTTCTTGGCCAGGGCCTCAGCCCAACTTGGTTTTTTCAACGTTTTCAGAAAACCCAAACCGCCTTGACCCGGAACAATATGCTTGTGGGCGGGCACCAACATTCAAAGCAATAAAAAACCAAAATTGCGCGTTCCGAGCGTGTTTTCTTCAAATGGTTGCGCGTTTGAACACAGTGCCTTGCTGATTCCGCAACATGTGCTTTGTCGGTTTGCAACGTTGCGATTGGATTTTTTGGCGAAGGTGTTGTTGCCGATTCAGTTTTGTTGTCTCGGTTCGGTTTGTGCATGTGGGTCTTGGTTTTGCTCTTTGTAATTGTAAGTCAGGGGAAATCTGTTGATCACGGGAAACCTTTTGGCATGAGCAGCTGCGTGTCTTGCCACAGCCGTATGGGCTGGGTTCAACATGCAGAAGTTGGTGTGGATAGCAACATGCGTATAGCACATGGGAACGCTAGTTTGAATGGGGCGTGTACAAAGTTTAAGTTTTGGACAAATCTGATAGCTGTTCATGACGAGTTGTAGTAATTGTAAAGCCCAAGCATGCGGGTCCATGTTGCCGCAGTCATTTGTCATGATTGCTTGGGGTCCGTTTTGGGGAGAAGGTGTCACTGGGCTTGCCGCTAAAGTTCTGCAAGTAATGCATTCTTGCATCATGCACCTGTCCTGGAAGTTGTAACCACTTTCACTAGTCTTGTATTTCAGCATGGCAGCAGAACCCATTCGGTCTTTGCCTTACGAGTAGAACGGCATTTCCGAGCAGTGGATGTGAATATTGCATATTCCGCATCTTACCGAATACTCGAGAACACGTGTGTGCAGCTCAGGAGGATCCATGAGCCCAGTGACCTGTGCATGTCTCCTGTGCCTTGTATGCACATCATGAAAGTTTTTCCATGAATTCGAGACGTGGCATGTATTTTATGTGATAGTCGACTCGGTTCACTAATGGATGGAGGTGGCCAGGGCTTCGGCACCTGCAGCGTCGCCATCAATATGGCCCGTGATTTCAGCCAATGAGGCTGAAACAAATCCTTCCACATGATGTCTTCCTTTCCAGCGTGTGTGCAAAATGATGCCAGGTTGGGGGTCATGCGGATCGTGATGCAGCCCAACTGTCTGCAAAGGACAGTGGTCGCAATTGGTCAGTTGGTGTCCCAAATATCTAAGCACAAAACACTTGTTGTAAGTGGCCTTGCTTGCAATGCTTCGGGGCATGTCCCAGTCAGCAGGTTTGTCGAGGCGTGTCCTTTTTTCGGCAGCAGGTGCAGGCCTGTGCAGGTAGTTTGTTGATGCCTCGAAGCGCTTTTGTTTAGCAGGCAGCTGTTGAAGGGCGGCATGATCCAGTCGCGGCGTGCCCAGCCACGTGATCAAACTGTTCTTGACGCAATGGAACCAACAAGAGATTTTCGGCACTAGAAGATTTTGGCTCGACGCGCGTGCAAAATGCAATTCAATATTTTCGTGCCATGTTGATTCTGCGACCTGTGCAGCGGTTGGCATCGAGAAGGGCACGGCGTCCGCTGGTAACCAGGTTGTACTGTATCCTCAGCCGTCACTGGCCTCAATGTACAACTGTCAGCGTTCATGGCTAGCTGAGGCAACATTTCTTCTAGCCGGTGCTGCCTCGTTTGCATCTCACAACTGTCGAAGTTCCGGCAGCTTGGTAGCACACGTGGACAAACAGCCCATTTCAAGCAGAGTTCTTCAAATGGGGTTAAGGCTAAGGGTCATGACTCCTGACTCTTGCATTTCTTTTGCATATGGAAGAAGCAGATCTCAGAACTCCGGCCAGCAGTTGCGCATGCCGGATTGGATGCAGATGCTTCGGCATTTGCTGATGGTTTGGGATTGCGCGGCGCCTATCAGTTTGCTGGTATATCTTGACGCGTGTCGTTCAGCAGAAACTTTTATGTTGAAGATACCAAGGCTAGAAAACATCTACACGACTGTATTCTGGCCTCTTCTCGCAGTGACATGTGTCTTGGGATGGCAGACTCGCCCTACATCTGATGCGAAACAATTTCCGACTGGTTTCAGCCAGTTCCAGCTTCGATATCTCTTCGTTTGGTTTCTAGCCATCACAGCAGACTGGCTACAGGGACCTTACGTGTATGAGCTGTATGCAAGCTATGGTTACAGCAAGGCGGATATTGCTCGGCTATTTGTGGTGGGCTTTGGATCATCTATGGTCACAGGCACGTTCATTGGTTCCGTGGCGGATGCATGGGGCCGCAAGTTTTGCTCTGTCCTGTACTGCGTGCTGTACGCCGCTGCCTGTGTCACAAAACATGTGAATGTGTACTCTGTGTTGATGATTGGCCGATTATTGGGTGGCGCAGCGACATCCTTGCTCTTCAGTACCTTCGAATGCTGGATGGTGGGAGAGCATCGGCGTTGTGGATTCCCCGATGATTTGTTGCGATACATGTTCGGGTTAATGTTCTTCGTGCGGTGCTTAATGCCCAGAGGGTGTTCTTCACGTGCGTGACATGTGCTTTTCTAGGCAATGTTTTACTGTGCCGCCGAGGTACAATATTTAGCAGCAATTGGGGCAGGGCTGCTGGCACAATTTGCTGCTTCTGCTATGCCGTTAACACAAGCTTCTGACAATGTGTGGTATGGTGGTGCCATAACGCCCTTCGATGTCTCCCTGATTTTCCTTGTCGTGGCAATACCTGCAATCAGCTCCTTGTGGCAGGCAGGTGCGAAGCCAGAGCAGGATGGCACTTGTAATGCAGCGTCTGTCAGGAAAATTATGGAGAGTCTTCTGATGAAAATGATGGAAACTCGTCTCTGTTGTGGGCTGGCTCCTGTGTTACTCTTTTTTGCAGTGCCTGGGCTTGCATTCCCATGCTGTCATGCATCTGATCAGCAGGAGGATTCGCCCAAATTGCGGCATCCTTCCAGGCATCGGGCCCTTCTAACACTGTTGCCATGTGAAGGGTATATGAGGGTACATTGGCCATGGGCTGCATGTGGATTGCTTGCGGAGGCCGGCTGGCGAGCCCTTTCTTCTAGTTACGATGTCCCCATACTTGGTCTGGCAGTGGCTGCATTTGAGAGCTCAATGCACCCTCATCAGTTGAGCCTATCGTGGTGTTGCTTTGGGTGAGCTGCCTGTCAGACTTCACACCTCACTCTTTCCTGACCGTTGAAGGTATGCATTCGTCTTTAATTGGACGCCAGCACTTGACTCTGGATCTGGAACTACGCCACCGCACGGGTTGATTTTCAGTGCGTTTATGTGCTCTGGCCGGGCAAAGTGTTGTTGTGCGGAAGTAGTAAAGACTGGTGAAGCCGGCTGACTCGCATCAGCGGCTTTGTCTGAGGATGGCCTGTATGTGTGGATCCTCTGTCTTCAGTCTGCTCGATGCTACCGTGCGGCCGATCAAGGCAGGAATGCTGTCCACAGTTGATGCGCCAGTCATATATGCGTGCTTTCTATTGTGCAATTTCAGCCAGCACGAAGAGTGCTGTGCAAAAATCAGGTGTTGATTCCAATTTGCTTTGCTGCGGCCCTTGCTTTGGGTCTGGTTTCCGCATCCTTGTATACGACTTATAGCATCTTGGCTACCCAGGTCATTTTCTGCAGATGGCAGATTATCTGCACATTTAGATGAACGCATGCTTTGGGGCTTGTGGCGTGCAGGAGTTCACGCGTGATGTATTGTGGAGAGGGCTGCCCTGATCTTTGTCAGAGTTAGGTGAGCTGGCGATCTTTTTAGGCTTCCTAGCCTTCGAGGCCTGTGCTGAGACCTTAGGCCGAGTCACAGCTGTCCATGCGCAGAATAGGGCTGAGAAGTCTGCAGACATGCGGACAGATGCCCACAGTCTCAGGTTGGGGCTTACTTCCCGTGTGTCAGCACTGTCAAGAGCATTGTGGTTCCGGAAGAGGCAAGAGCTGGTGTCTACAATGCTACTTGTCGAAATTCAGCCTCCTCATCCACAGCTGAACACCCAAACCTTTCGAAAGGTTTGTGTATTCCCCTTGCAGGTATACCGTGTGCCGCTGAATCTGTGCGTGGTGGTTCTCCTTCTGGCTGATTTGGAGTGTCTTGGTGTACCTAGGCAGAACTGGATTGTTGCTGCATTGGATTGCAAGTGTCTTCTCAGGCTGAAGGATTCCTTCGCTCTTTGCAGTGCGTTGCTGATCTTCTGCATGATTGCAATTTCATATATTGCCAAGCGTTCCGATGAGTAGAAAGCTTGCAACTACTTCAAAGATGCGGTAATGTCGCAGCAAATCCCCTGCGGTGTTACCCTAAGTGGTCCGAGCGAGTCATCAAAACAGCTCCGATCCTAGTGTATGCTCCAACTGATGAGACGTGCGCTGCACAACCTTGGCGTAGGGCTGCTGCTTGAGGGACATGAGTGTGTGGCTGTTTGCAGACAGGCAGCTCCGCATGCGGAGTAATGAAGCATAATGCATAACTGGATGGCAATAGCATGCAATGGCAGAGTGGAGGCCTGAGAAGGAGCAAGCTTTTCGGCATTCACAGCCAAGGTCCATCAGATCTTGTCACTTGCTGATGCTTTGGAGCAGGAAGTTGCAGGCGCTTTGAACTTCACCGTTTGACGCTTTGAACTTGCGATCAAAAATTGCCAGGCAACGGAGTCGATGCCGGCTGCACAGTGCAAGTGTCAGGATCCAAGTTTGCGTTTTGGAATCGCAGCACGTCATAATCACAACATCCCATTGGCACCCTGCAATTTTCAATTAGTTGGAGAACGCTTAGGTCTCCAATCCGTCTTCCTGGTTCACAGGCAATGATGCCACGTACCAGAGTGCCAGTTGACAGGAGCATATCCTCAAGATTTTTCATTCTCGGCTGAAAAGTGGGTTTGACTTGAATCTAATGGAATCTAGTTGTCGGGCAGAGATTCTAAACATGTCCCGAACTTGCCCAAGGTCACCACTTGGATGCATCCTGAGTTTTCGCGTCTCGTGCCATTTGATTGGCTGAAAGAATTTTGCGTAGAGAAGCTGCCTGCTTGAAGCAATGGTCCGCTCCTCTGCTCTTGGGTTTTCAATTCCCGGCAGTTGCAGTCCAGTGAGCTAAGCGGTATCTAGACACCAAGAATGAGTTGATCGAGGCAACAGAGGCAACATATCGTGCCTCCAAGAGGCTGCGGCTGTGGTGTCTGCTACAGCCTCGAACCAGCAGCTTTCCCTGGATTTCTTGGAAACCTTGTCAGCCACTGTGCCTAGTGAGGATCTCAATAGCCGCCTGTGCGGTAGAGGCGGGAAGGGTGTTGTGTTTGCGGCGCGATTTCACCTCTTGCTTGATGGCTAGGGCTTGCTTGCCTTCACATCAACCACACCGGTCAGCAGAGGCAATGGGACTGCACTGCCTGTTGAGGAAAACTTGGCTTGATCTGAGTCAGGCTACCGAACGATCCGAAGGGCTCAGATGCAGCCAGACCTGCCGGATGCTGGCATTGCAGTGATTGAGAAGGCAGTGCTTCCTGCTTCATCCTTTATGCAAAAGCAGAGCAAATACGTCGTGGGCGAGGTGGACAGAAAGACTCAGATGAAGGCCCGGATCGCATCGAAATTTGTTCTGCAATCTTCTCCCTCTTTCTTGGGCCTACATTGCACTTTCTATCCTCCAAGCATTTTGTCTCCTGGAGGCTTTGTCTGTCAAGCTTTGCTATGTAGGCTTATCCTGTAGGATCGGATGTCCCGCTTGTCTGTCTGTCTGTCTGTCTGTCTGTCTGTCTGTCTGTCTGTCAGTGTGTTGGTCATACGAGCTTTTCTGCTTCACTATCTTCATATAGCCTTGGAATGGCTTTCTTTTCTTGCGCAAGTGGGGTAACCGCTTACAGTCTTCTTTTTATTGCACGTTTGTTTGCTTAGGACGAGCTCTGTGCAGCCCAGGTTCGCAACAAATTCCAGCCATGCATCTAAAAGCTCAAGAGAGTGTTATTAAAGGTGGCTTGCCTGCTTCCTAAAATCACATAGTGCGGATTCCCTTATTCCTTCAGCCTAATGCCATTGAAAGTTCCCAACTGACACTCACGGGCTCGCTGCTGAAAGATTCCAATAAAATCGAGAGAACCTTATGAAGTTCCGGGAGTGTCAACAGCAATCTGCGCACCCGCGTCTCCGGCAGTGCCGGGGCAGATGCCTTCGCAGTTAAGACCCCCTTCTCAGGTTTGTGATAGAAGCTAGACAGGTTTTGGTTTCTCCCCGCAAGTTCTCAAGCAGCTCGCGCCACGTACGGTGATAGCATCTTGAGCAGCTGCCACAACATTCGCACTTTCCAGCTTTTTTTTTCTAGTGGCAGCAACTGGTGGTTTCAGTCTTTTCCACGTTGGGTTCTCAGCACTTGCCTCGATGGTCAGATAGGAGTCTTGACTCCATGACTTGAATTGTCAGCGATAGATGGTTGGAATGCCTGCGTGTTGATCTGACTAGCTATGGTGTTTTCACGGATCAACGTCCGAGCCCAAGTTCAGTTTGCACATTTGCGCCCAAATAGCTCTAAGTTCACCATCATCAGGACTTGACTTGAAAATTGCAAGCTTCTATCGATGGTGTGCCAGAAGCATGATGAGGGGTGTGCTGTGAGCATCTCAGTTTGACCCTACAGTCTGCTAGAGCTGTCTCCTGCTCCAATCAATTAGGGTTAAAGCTTCTGGCATCAGGTTGCGACCTGGATTTGAGAGACTGAGATAACTGTGAATGTAGAAGCTTGACAGTTTCGGGAGGCGTCAGGCTGCGCCTAAGTTTCAGTTGCCAAAGACGTGCCGCTCAAGTCTGGAAGCTTGATGCAGGAACAATTTGAGAAAGAGAAGCGCATATCTCAGTTTTTTGCGGAGGACCTTGTCCGATTCCTGCCAGTGTTTTGCAAAGGTGGAAAGTGTTCTAGGCGTTTGGTCTGAAGGTGGTGGAGAGTGCTGCTGCACAACGATGACATCCACACGTTTGAGTATGTGACAAACTGTCTAGTGAAGGCTGGAACTTGTTGCGCCAGACTGCTTGAGAGGTCCGCTGTATTCCGCTGTTTGCGTGCCAGGTGGTTCAGCATCTCTCACGCCGGAAAGCTTATGGCATTACCTGGGAGGCACCAATGTGCAGGAGCATGCGCACGATCCTTGATTCTTCTACTGGCATGAGAGCCGCCGGTGCATCAGAACCTTTCTCAAGCAGCGTGGAACCAGTATCCATGAACAAGTGAACCGTGTTGCATTAGAAGTACCCAACGTATTAGATCGTATTTGTATGAGTTGACCGTATTACACCTGAGCAGAGAAACCATAAAGATAAAGCACTTCTCACAGAGCCATGTCAAACGCACGAGCCGCTGTTGAAGCTCTGTCCTTCAGCACCGAGAAGAAGGCAGGCATGTGCCGAATATGGCATTACATTTAGTGGTGCTAGCAGTCGAGGAGTACATTCTGAATGATCTTGACCCCATTCTGGAGAAGATGGTCGCTGAAGTCATTGTACCTGTTCTGACTATGTAGGGTTTGCACCCAGAACATCCCAGAATGCCAAAGCTCATAGCTCCATGCCGGAAGCATGTCGAGAAGTTCTCTTGTCAAAGCCAAGGCCAAAGCGCCTGCTAGGCCGATGGACCCTTGTCTGGACTTTCTATTTCAAAAGACTTTGACCTGCAGGCTTTTAAGTAGCAATTTTTTCCTGCTCTGTCCGCCGAGGACTTCATGATAGCTTGGCTGCGAAAGAGCGCAAACATTGATGAATCCATCCCATCCAAGCATTGTTCCTTAAAGCAGACTCTAGGCTGCAGCCAAATCACACTCAGCGATGCCGAGTGTGGCAGGATGTTATTTTGAGATGTTGCATCCTTCTGCTTGCCTAGAACAAACGCCAATCTACAGAAGCAGCTGGCTCACATGCAGAGCTTCCTGCAGGAGCTGGGTGTACCGGCCACAGCATTGTCATATGTCGAAGTGAAGCAGCTTCTGGTTTGGAATGCAGCAGACAGCATTGCGAGGCACCAGCTGTTGGGGGTGCAGAGGATCAGGCGTTGGCGTATGGTCACTGGTTCCTAGCCTAGCCCCTGCTGCAGCAGAAGTGTTTTCCTGGCTTGGGGACCGCTACGTAAGTGAGTGGGTGCAATGTCGCGTGCTTGAGAGGTACAGGATTTCAGGTGGGATGATGCAGTTCCTGACAGGAGAGAAATGCTGCTGCGGGCACACCAGCAGAAGAGGAACCAGCAGAAGAGGAACCAGCAGAAGAGGAACAAGCAGAAGATTCGACAGTGAAGGGGGCTCCAGCAGATGGCGCCTCTCCTTCATGAGAACTTATGGCACTGCAATGTGTCTTGGAGGCACTTAGTCCCAGCATCACCGGATGCACTGCCTGTGACAATGTCTTGATTCAAGAGACGGTCTGTCATACCACATCACAACATCTCGCCAACGTGCACGCTGAAACACGAGAAAAGAGGGCGAAACAGCTGTCCAGGGCTGTACATAGCACGAGGTGCTATGCTGGAAGGTGCTGCGCTGAGAGATGCTGAGAGTCACGAAGGCCACAGGCTGCAATGCTACATTTTCAAGACACGAGTGGCAAATGAAGCGTTCAAATGCAGACAGGATCATTGGCATCCTGTCAAGCTTTCAATTGTGCTGACACATGAACTCGGAGCGTGCTGTACCGAAAGCCCCTAGCGCTCAAACAAACGGCATGAACTTCAGGACTGGAACCGCATATTTCGTGTCCGGTAGCACCACATGCAAAATCCTGTAGGAACACCTCACTTGCACGCTTCATGCAGCACGACGTTTAAAGTCAAACAATAACAAGGTTCGGGGCCATACATACCAGATATCCTGGGAGGTTGCAGGAACAAGCGAGCCGAAGGCAGAAGGCAAGTGATCGTACTTATCCACTCGTGTGCTTACATGCGTACAATCATACAGGACCCGGTTTTTGATGGTGTTGCTTTAGTCGTCCAAAGCCGTCATTTGCACAGCAGCCCGGTGGGTGTCGCGGCAGCAATGGCAAAGAGGGACTGGTTTTCATTTTTCAAATCAGGCTGGGTTATCTTCCCAAGCTTGCATGCCCAGGATTTCGGCGACTATGGATTTCATTTGCAATGTCTGAGCATTGCATTTGCTCCTGTTGTCTCCATTTGTCCAGATTTCGGTGGGTGAAAGCCCAGAACGGATTCCGAGAAGGAAGATGAATTCGCCTGAGCTGGGCGGAAGTCCTGCACCATGAAACCGTTCAGTTGCCATCTGAAACAAGGATGCTACATTTTCAGAAGCTTTTTGTAAAAGTACTGATGGGCAAGCAAAATTTGGATGGCGCTTCCTAGTGTGTCACACCACAGATCTAGCCAAAGGCCAGCCTGTGAGTGATCAACGCAGCAGTCGAGCTGACAAATAATGCGGAGCATTATCCCGGCCTGTGCGCCATGTCGCATACATATCTTCGTATGCCAGGCCCACAGTTCAGGCAAGGCGACGGTGGCTTGCGTTTGGAAGGTGGCCCACTCAACAAGTTGTGGTTGCTTGTGATAATTTTGCATGTGCAGGCCTTGGCAGAGCAGTTCTGCATGAAGCTGCAGCAAGACGGGCTGACCGTCTCAATCGCTTTGTGCTTGGTTTTCTGGTTTTTCTCTGCAGACAGTCTGTCTCAGTCGTTTTGATTGTAAAGTTCCATCGTGCACAGCTTGACCTTCACCGAGGCACCTGACTCCAAGTTTGAGGGAAACAAAGGTGGGCAATAGTCCCAGATGCCGGCAACACCTGGATGTTGCCAGCCTGGCGAAGCGAAATGCAGCCGTTTTGGCCGGGATAAAGAGCCTTATTGCTAGAGACAGCTTCAAGGAGCTAAGCTGTCCATGCAGTTTTCTGCTTCAAGATAATCTGTTCTGTGGTTTGTTCCGCCAAACTAGGAAAAGTAGTTGTGCCTGAAAATGTCTTCCAATATGGACGGCATGTGGCGATGGCCAGCGATGCAAGCTGGATAGTGTCATAAGAGCTGCCTCAGATTCGCTTGCAAGTCTACCAAGGACTTGCATCACGCAAGGTTGCAGTAGTGCAGTGTACAAGATCCCTCGAGTCGAGCAAGGCTAGGGGCTAGGGCAAAGCGAAAAAGACAGGCTTGCCACAACAGACGAGAAGGACCTTCATGCAAGTCTGCATTCGTGCAGAGTTGAGCGCAGAGTCATCATTATAGTCGTGGATTTGCAGGTCATGTTGCCTTCCGCTGCTTTGTCCGGCATGCCGTGACCTTCAATGCCATCTTGCATTCGTGCCAAAAACAACTCGGTCTCTGTGCAAGGGCGTCGCCAGATAGAAGCTACGAGTCAATGCGGCAAACTCTACAGGACTCCCTGTACAGGTTGAGCGGCTATACACTCGCTGCATGCAGAAGTTGTATTTCATGGTGTTGCGAGGAGACTCAAAAAAGATGTGAGCTCATGTTAACCCGCATCCAGAAGGAAAGCGAGGCTGCAATTTGAAACCTTATATACTTGTTGCAAGGCTGGAGACTGGACTTCAGCGTTGAGTCAGCATGGCGTGGTTCGGCTAGCTTTCGCTAAACTTGAAATCTCTTCTGTCGCAGTTGTACAATACCCCCAGATCATAATTGACAAGCTACCCGAAGGTCAACCGCGGACTCGTAAAAGCACGCGAGACTGCGGAAGAGAGTTCTCGGAAACTGGCTAACCAGGCATAGAGAACCTCACAAACTATCCAGCTTGCATGGGGAACAAGTGTGGAGGTCAACCAGCTCACCGAGCAGATTGGCCAAGCGGTGAGGACCTTATCAGCCTTAGCAATTCATCCAGCAAACCCTGACATTTGCTTACACATTGCAAGTTTCTTTGATGTCCGCGTATTGCATGCTTCTCTACCAATTCGTCAGCTGCGATCATCCAATTCCACTCAGCTGGAGCGATGACACCTCTGTCTAGGTTCGCCAAAAGGTGAAAGCAGAGGAACAGTTGCAGGCAAGGGTGAGACGCTTTGCAAGTAAGGCTTTTTGTGATCGCAGTATGTTGTTATGTATTTTAATATCGAACGCGAGACCGCCTCGGTACAACCTGCTGAGGCTAGAGAGCACGTGTCCAGCAGGACTCTACATTTCGGACCCAGACCCAAGGGTTCGGAAATCTCAAAAGCCACGCCTCTGTTGGGGGAAAACTTGCTTTTCTTCTGGCCCTGCATCTAAACGTCTGCGGCCTCCGCCCTCGGCGGATCTCATTTTAGATGTCAAGCCCGAGTTTCAGCTGACAAAGCTGCAAAAGACTTCTTTGCCAGGCGTTTTGACAGGATGCGTGTGGGTGCAAGTATTACAAGGTGAATCGCTTTGTTGGAGATTCGCTGCGTCGTGAACGAAGATGAATGCATGTTTTGTTGGAGTACTGTTTTTGAATGGCAAGAGAGTCAAAAGATTGGAGTTGTGGTAGCCAGCCTGCCCTCACAGTGGCTCGTTCAGTTGTGAAGGATGTGCAGAGGCGGACAGAAATCGAGGCGGACTTGCGGGAGAAGGATGCTGGCAAGATTGCTTGCTGCAAGCTGCTGCTTGAAATTGTGCGCTTGATTTATTTTTTTCATACTGCAGTGTCCTCACTTGAGCACTCTAGCTAGATGAATTTGTGCCTGCTTTACATCGTATGCCTTGTTGCTCAAGCTACCTCTCTGGGTCCGTAGGAATGTCTTGTTTTCGTAAGCTAGCATGGGGTTGGACATCGTGTTCAAAACGGCCCGCCGCAGCTTGGCATCCAGATTGAGGAAACGTACGAGCCGTTTGCGAATTAAGACTGCAGTTTGAGGCAGCTTGGGCTCTGCCGCATCCACGATGGTCTGCGACCCAGCTACACAGCGTTTTAACCTTGTCACTTGGAATGGCGCTTGGCTATGAACGGCTCTCATGACAAGTTGGTGCAAAAGGCGACGTGGCATATTTGACAAGTGCTCGCGACATGCTTGAAGCTTCTTGCATGTCCGCCTCATCAAGTCCTCTCCTCTTCGTACTTGTCACAGGCCGGAGTACTACGATCGCATTTTTGGGGACCTTGACCCGGGAGAAATACTCGAATGGTATAACACCGATTTGGAGGATAGCAGAGTATGGTGCAAAAACATATTAAGCTGTCGTTTAATGAGCTGCTTGTGACATCCATGTACAGTGGAGGGTTTGCAGGATCTCATGCCAAAATGGGGCATCCCACTCCATCGAGCACGGCGAATCCTTGACCTTGGATGCGGTGCGCTTCCAGAATTTTGCAGCTGTCGTGCAGTCCCATGTGCAGTCCGTTAGGCACTTCTCGTCTTCCGGCGCAGCTCGCACAGCTTTCTTGCCTTGACGCTCGCTTGGTCGTCGGCTGTGACGCCTCCACAGCGGCCATATCTCGTCAGCAGGTTCGTTCCCCTGCTTGCTATGCCTACAGGGAAGCGGTCTGATTGGCATGTCGACTTTCCCAGGAGGTTTTGGTGCAATCCCGCCGGCTCCTTAGAAGTAGAAGGTCAAAAAGGTCAAAACAGCTGCTGCATTTGACTTTGGTCCTCTTGCAAGTTTAGTGTGAGGTAAACCGGGAAGATCGCGATTGATTTTTACATTTGCCGATGCGGCCAGGCAGCACAGTGATCACTTTGAAAGGAGCATGGATATTGCTGTAGAAATGAGACATGTTTGCAGAGGTCAATTGAACCGTTGTCGGTCTTTTTACAGCCTTTGCAGGCTGCCATTCCGCAACAGCTGTTTCGACCTCGTTTTTGAGCCTACGACTGAGTCTTGCAAACCGAGCATAGCCTCGCTAGACAGCAATGCCTCGAGTATCTGCTCAGGAAGGGATTTCTGGATGCTCTTCTCAGCACCAGGTGGCTTGCCCTGTAGCTTGGAAAGAACTACAGCAGCTGCTCATGTTTGGAGATGCACCGTTGCGCAGGGAGGGTGAGCAGCAGGTGCCGGGCGTGCTGGCGGAGGCTCAAGTTCAAGACGCTGTTCTGTTGGCCCGCCTTTTTGTCTAAACGTGTTGGGAAAGGGCAGACTGTAGGCAGGAAAGGGTTGGAAACGGAAAAGCAGTAGGTGCAAAAATTCAAGCGTAACAAAAGGGACACTGATGTGGACCCCAGCCGCCATCAACGTAGCTTTGTTCAAAGCCCCTTCAAAAACCTCTTCAAAGCTAGTAAGCCGTCCTCAAAGCCCTTCAAGCCCTTGAATCCTCCTGCCTGGAGGCCTTTAAAGCTCCCTTTGAGGCCTCTTTCAAGCTGCTTTCCGTGTTGGGCGGCAAATGTGCCCAGGTGGCCAAAGGAGAAAAACAAAACAACTGTAAGCGATGTTGTTGTTGTTGTCGTCTTCGTTTGCCTATCATCGACTAGGATTCCATTCAGCTGACCACGGCAGCCAGTTCAGATTTTCAAAGAGCCTCATAATTATCTCAGTGTGCACAGCTGCTGAACCAGACAAAAACGGACCATGTTTTTTTGCCCCAAACCAGACTGAAGTTGACTGCTCGTTGGAGGTATGGCGAACGCTGGCTGCAGGCCGGGCCGCACTCTAATGCACATTGCCAGTCGTTGCGTCATGAAGTGTCAGGAGGGTCGCTGATCTCAATCACCCAGCCTGGACAGCTGACGCCGCCCGATGCGCGAATGACGATACTACAGGAGGCAGGCGCTGTTGATTCCGGACGACTCACAGTACGTGGTTGTGTGAAGCAGTCTGGACAGAAGGCACAGCTGCATCCCCTGCCGGCAGCTATACGAGAGGTCATTCCGTACTTGAAAATTGTCATCATGAATCGTATACTGTGTTTTGGTTTTCTGCAGCACAGCAGGTGGGTGGGCTGCAAGACCGTGGAGTGAGATGCTTTGAAATTACCAAGCCCGAGAAAAATATCAGCCGGCTTTTTATCAATCCCATTTGCTTTGGATGTCTGATGGCCATCCTTGCTTCCTCAGTGACTGAAATGGTCAGGACTTGGCACGAAGACTGGCAGCAGTCCAGCAAGATGCAGACGCAAGGCCATACGTAGGCTTTCTCGAACAGCGTGCTGACTAAAATTCTGAGCCTTTGTTAGAATATAGAATTCAGCATGCCAGTACCCAGAACAGCGGAGTCTTTTCTGCTGCCAGCTTCTCTGGACCAGGACTCAGACGTTTTTGGCAGGTGCGCGGCCTTGCAGACGGGACTGGTCACCAAGTTGCAGTGCATGCGGCGTGTTCTTGACAAGGTGTATGCCCGCCCTCAGATGCTTTGCCTCACTTGCAAGATGAGATGAAGAGATTTTGCAGACGCACTGCTGGGTGATAACACAACTGGCTTTGAGGTTCAAAAGCAGTGATTCACATGATTACGTGATCTGTGTTATCATTGTTTATTCTCAAGCTGCACCAAGCGTGATTCAACCCCTGATGATCTTGACAAGATACTGGCTGCACGACGGTCATTTGGTTTGAGACGGGACCGTGGGCACGAGATGCATTAGCGGACCAGATGGCAGATGTGGCAGATGTGGCAGATGGCGGCTCTTCAAGAGAGCGGCAGGATGCACGTGTGACTTGTGGCAAGCACGGAAGATGCATGCCCAAATATTCCAGTTCATGCTCGGTCTGGACTGTTTCAGCTTGCTCGTCAGAATGCCACTCCGTCAGTGAATTCGTCTTTATGTTGCGACACTGAGTTCCAACAAGCATGTTCGCGAGTAGAACCCTTTGCAACAACTATTATTTTCACTTTGCTACGTTGGCCGCGCCATGGTTTGGAGTTGCTTGGCTCAATGGGGCGAATGGGATTCGGCCTCAGCTCAACTTCAGAAGACACGCCGCTAACGTGATGTGCGTCGTGATTGTCCGTTTCTGCACATATCGGAAGGGGGAGGCAATTACCGGCGCATCTCGCAAAAATGAAGGAGAGCCTGAAGTCGCCATGGCCCGGCAACCCTTTCTTTTTTCCTTTCTGGCAGGAATCTACCAAAGCGAAGAAGAAAGGAAAAGATGATGCGAAAGGCAGGTCCCAATCCAAGAAGGACAGGCTTCAGTTGGAGACAGACATGCTTCACGCAAGACACACGGGACACGTATTCACACTAATTAGGTTTTAAATCAGAAGAGGCAAAGACAACTCTTTAATAGAACGCATTCAGATGAGGTATGCTGAGGTACTTAGACTCAGACTGTGCAGGTACTCCACTCTTGGAGGTCCGGGGTTAGACTTGTTGTCTTGCTGTGGTGTTGCCTGGGTCATGGAGCGATCTTGTTGCATAAAATAAATTCTTGAGAACCTCAGCTTTTTACACAAGTCTCAGGTGGTTCGGCAGGTCATTTTTCACCTATGTCAGAAAAGGTGTGGAGTGGTTGCAAAAAAGAGTGCCTTCCCAATACGTCAAGTTCCAGACCGTCTTCTAGGGTTTGCTGCTGCAGACTGCTTCTGGGGAAGGGCAGTCTTTTTGTTAGTAGTTGACACTACGAGGCTCTCACACCTGGAGGTCAAAGTCTAAGTGCCCCCACTGAAACAGCCAGAGACTATTTTTCCGTAGCCTCTTCGGGACACTTCGGTCCATCTTGCTTCTTCACATTCGGCCCATACATGGAGATGGTGCTGCATTCGATGCAAACAGCATTTGCCGGGTGGTCGGCCGAATATCTACACGGCTTGTGTCCGTCATGTTGTTAAGCTGGCGTCAATATCCTTGAGATCTGAGCCCTTTGCGCCATTTTGGCTCAAGGCTCAGAAAGTTTTGTCAGTACCGTTGTAAGAAATGCGTGTGACCTGTCCGGTTGCAGTCGTTGCTGGGCGATCTGGGCGGAGACCCATATCCATTGGTAGAGGCCATCTCTGGGCTGAAGCTTGCAGAGCAGCAGCGCATTGGAGCTCTGTCGCCCTTTCGGCAGGAGAGCCTCAGGGAAAGCATAAGACATACATAGAGCTGGCAGTGAAGTACCCGAAGCAACCCAAAGCGTCCAAAACGCGCTTCATGATGCTCTCTAGTGACACCTTTAATGGGACTTTGCTTAGGACCTTGTGCATCTGCTTGGCCCGCAAACGGCAGAGTTGACAACTGATGCACGTTTCTTGCATTGCAATCTGAGCTCCAACCGCGTGAGTAGGTGGCTAAGTAAATCAGCGAGTTTTATGCGGATATATGCGGATGATCTTTTGCAGATCACGTCGCGCAGCCTGAAAGCGACAGTCTTGAGTTGGGCGACGAAAGCCAGTCTGGATGTTTTGGACAGGACGTTACTAGGTTACCATAGCAAGGGTCTGAACTTTTGAGTGACAGTAGACAGATACTCTCAGTGGTCCCCTTCGTGTTCTGGAAACACTTCTCAGGAAAATCAGAATAGGCAGCTTCAGGCCAGACAAAACCGCCATCGTCCAAAGATGATTCCTCTGCCACATTCCCGTGGGGCGTCATCAACTTGTGACGAACAGGAAGATGACGAAGTGATCCAAGGTGCCAGTCACCTTCTTGCATTGATGGCCGTCTCCGAAGACAATGCGATTATTAAGAACGTCGTAATTCAGGGCAAAGACAGGCTGCTTTGCGGCCGCAGTTTGTTTAAGGCCTTGATCTCATTACAGGATGACCCCCTGGGCCCGTGACAGCTTTTCCGGTTTGGGTGGTTCTCTGAGGAGTGCGGACCCCAGGCGGCACCAAGGGCACTCCCACGCTCAACGAGCACCCGCTCCTCCCACCCTTGCCGGCCATCACTGGGTGACAGTGCCCTCGTCCTGTCCCTGCCATGTCACTGCCGGCTGCACCTTGCGTTTCTGCCAGGCCCTTGGCAGCTGTGGTACGGAGTTCTCGGTGTCTGTGTCAACTTGCATCCTGACCGTGCTGCCCCATCCTGGTCCTGTCCCTTCTGTTCCATGGGGTTTGTTGAGGTCTTGCTTGCCCTCCTTTCCACAGCGTTGTTGCTGCCGTACATGCTACTGCATGCCACCTGCCGTATTCTCCTGACCTTCGGCGTCCTGGTAGCTTTAAATGAGCAGATTACCTTCGCCTCAGCTGCGTGCCCGGCAGTGTTCTCTTCTCTTCACGTGCACGCCCCACAGCTTGCCATATGCCTTCACTTCAGCTGTTCTCCCCGCAGCTTGCCATGTCTTGCCCTGATCCGTTCACTTGTGCTGCACGCCCCGCTGTTGCCGTGCGGCTTTCTCCGCATCCGCGGGGCCCGGCATAGGCCGGGCCTTTCTGCGTTCTTCTTGTCGCCCTCTGTTTTCGCTGTGTAAATCATCAGCGGATGTTGCTCTTGGCAACAGCTCTGTTCTGCAATTACCTTTCACCCTTCGTGTCTCGCCCCTCTCACTTGCATTTCCGCCGTGGGTCAGCTTCGCAATCACTTCTTGTTTGGCGGACTGCCTCAGCATGCCCTGCCGCGGTTTTGACCCAGTCAGGCTTTTGCCTCTTCGTACTTGCATTGGCCTCCCACCTCCACACGGACCCTCGACGCTTCGCCGTGGTGTTGGTTGGTTAGTTGGCTGGCTGGTTGGGTGGTGGTGGTGGCGGTGGTGGTGGCGGTGGTGGTGGCGGTGGTGGTGGTGGTGGCGGCGGTGGTGGTGGCGGTGACGGTGGTGGTGGAGGTGGTGGCGATGGTGGTGGTGGTGGCGGCGCTGGAGGTGGTGGCGGTGGCGGTGGCGGTGGTGGCGGTGGTGCTGCTAGTGCTGGTGCATGCTGGTGCTGGTGCGCTTGCTGGTGCTGGTGCTGGTGCTGGTGCTGGTGCTGGTGCTGGTGCTGGTGCTGGTGCTGGTGCTGGTGCTGGTGCTGGTGCTGGTGCTGGTGCTGGTGCTGGTGCTGGTGGCGGTGGTTGCGGCGCTGGTGGTGATGGTGGCAGCGGCTGTGGGTGTGGTCGTGGCCTTGGTCGTGGTGGTTGCGGCGGCGGCTGCAACAACGGTGGTGGCGGCGGCGGGCTGTGGTTGTGGTCGTGCTTGTGGCTGCGGTCGTGGTCGCGCTCTTGGTCGTAGTGGTGGTGGCGGTGGTTGCGGCAGCGTGGTGCTGCTGGTGCTGGTGCCGGTGCCGGTGGCTCCTTCGCCCTCTGCAGCCCGGCCTTCCCGCGGCATCTGTTGCTGCTGGTTTCCTGTAGCTGCTCATCCTCGTCCCGTGCTGCCGGACCACAATTTTTTAGCTTTTCGAAGCTTCTTTTTGCTCCCCCTCCCCCATTGTGGCGCTGCTGCCGCTTCCCCATGGCTGCTCATCCTCGCAAGCTTCCAGTGCTGCCCAAGCCGCAACTTTTTTAGCTTTTCGAAGCTTCTTGGTTCCCTTCCCCCCACCTTTTCATTGCAGCCCGGCCTTCCTGCAGCATCTGCTGCTGCCGCTTCCCTGTGGCCGCTCATCCTCGCAAGCTCCCCGTGGTGCCCAAGCCAAAAATTGCAGCTTTTCGAAGCTTCTTGGTTCCCTTCCCCCCGCCCCCCCGCATTGCAGCCCGGCCTTTCAGCAGATCCTCGCAAGCTTCCCGGCGCCCAAGTTTCAATTTTCGGCTTTTCGAAGCTTCGTTCTACCCCCCGCTTCCCCACTGCACCCCGGCCTTCCTGCAGCATCTGCTGCTACCGCTTCCCTATGGCTGATCATCCGCCTAAGTTCCATTTTTTGGGTTTTCGAAGCTTTCTCCTACTCCCCCCTCCCCACTGTAGCCCGGCCTTCCCGCAGCATCTGCTGCTGCCGCTTCCCTGTGGCTGCTCATCCTCGAAAGCTTCTCGTGCTGCCGCGCTGAAATTTTTGGTTTTTGAAGCCTCCGCTGCGGCCCGGCCTTCCTGCAGCTTCTGCTCATAGTGGCATGCTTCCTTTGCTGACACACAGAAATTTTCGGCTTCTTCTTGCTCCCCTTTTCCATTGCAGCTCGGCCTTCCCGCAGCATTTGCTGCTGGCGCTTCCCTATGGCTGCTCATCCTCGGCGCCCAAGTTTCAACTTTTGGCTTTTCAAAGCTTCTCCTGGCTCCCCCTCCCCCATTGCAGCCCGGCCTTTCCGCAGCATCTGCTGCTGCCGCTTCCCTATGGCTGCTCACCCTCACAAGCTTCCCGTGACCCCAAAAGCATCCTCAAGTTTTTTCTGTCTGTTCAATGGCCGGACCTTGATCGCCTTGCTCCAATGCCATTGAATCTTGCAATCATTTCGCTTCAAAGTCCAACCTCTGGGAGCGAGCCCACGTAAGCCTGTTGAGCTCCTTCACTCCAGGTCGGCCTTTCGAGCCGCCGGTTTTCGCCTTCTTCACCGGGCTTTGCCGTTCCTTGAA